CAAGCTGCTGTTCCCACCTGCCAGGCCATTTGCTAATGTGCTCTGTTCTATTTACCCACTTTGTTTTCTATTGCATACCCCTGCCTGCTCCCTCTGACTTGCAAATGACGCCAGCATTATTTCCCTGTTTTTCTTCTTTTCCCACAATATTTACACGTTTTCTTTCATGCTAGCCATTATACATGAAGTCAAAGGTCTGCTTGTTCCTTGCAGTCTGCCAGGCTAGTGTGATTAAGGCACAGATGGTTTCTGTAGCCAGTGATACCAGAAAGCGATATGGTTACCATCACATTTAGCTGCCTTTGACTCCCCAGCCTGAAGGAGCAGGTACTCATTTACAGCTGGGTCAGTGGGGGCTGCCTTCAGCCTCAAGGCAAAATAAGACTCCCAAGTCTGGAACCACAATAAGGTGCCTTATCCAGTCTGTCATTACATCCCTCGTTATATGTGAAATAACTTCTCTGGACTAACCCATAAAGATCCTACTCCATCATCCTGAAACCCTCTTTTCCAAACCTGCCTTTTCTCTGATGCTTACAGAAAATGCTTACACCTGCTTAAGGAGGTCTAGGTTGAGTGGTAGTCAGGGACAGCTGGTTGGGTCAGCGTAACAAGAGGGTTGTATGGTCACAGCCATTATCTTTGGGCTTCACTGTATTTTAAAGTTTTTATGCAAAGATATGTAAAATAATTTTAAAAAACCTTTTCAGTGATGCAGTATACAGAGAAAGCTTATGTGACCCTCACCATCATCTTGGAACCTTCAGCCTCTTGTTACTGTTTGTGATGCCTCACATTTGCATCTTGTTTCAAATGTGAGATTAAAGTCTTGAGAAGAGGGATCATATCTTGCTCTGATTTGGTACATCAGCTAGGCTGCTGGCAGACTGTAAGGCAGTCACACAGTGGGGTCCAAGGAGTTTTATGCCCAATCCCCACAATCATGTGACCTGCCATGCACTCCTGGCACTCCTGGCATGGCAGGTTGTGTGATTTTTTTGGGGGGGGATGGGGCATCAAATGGCCTAGATCCCTATTGTGTGATAGCTGGCTGCTATGGCTGCCCAGTGCTGATCTTAAGATCAGCTGTTTGGAACCAGGATGCAGCTGTTGTGTGGCCAGTCCCTGTGATCGAACAGGGGGCAGCCCCCAGTCCCAGATGGAGACCAGAGGCGTCCTCTTACCTGGCTTCCAGTAATCCAGCATTTTAAACAGCCTTGCCCTGCCACTCTCTCAAGGGTGGCAGGGCAAGGCAGCAAACCCGCTGGGTCATAGGGAGTTTCAGGGCTCTGCCTGGTTTCATACTCAGCTGCCTCATACTCATGCTGATGCTTAAATGACTATTGGCACACGGATGGAGCAGCCCAGGGTCTGGAACATGTCACACATTCAGTTTGATACCATACAAACCAGCCCTAAATATTAAGGCTGGTTTGTCATTTTATGGTGCCATAAATTGGCTCAGTGTGTGTCCCGTTGCATAGTTGTGGCAACTATAACATGGCATGTTAATTGTACCATATGTGTAACATCTGCCAGGGCCTTTAGATTCAGAAACCTAGGTACTAACTTTTGGGCATTGCCAAAATCCCTACGACAGTAACAATAGCAGCAGCATCTGTTACTGGTATTGACTACTAGCTAGGTAGAATCTGGCATGCGGAAAAGGCAGTAGGAGATCGTTACTAAAATCATGATGATTTTTAATGTGTGAACAGTCAAATACTCTTATGCTGTATTTAAGTAGCTCACCATGGTTGCCAAATGCAGCAAAAACATAGAATTTTACAGAACACAATTTGCAATCAGCTTAATGTTATTGGACTGCAAGCAAAGTTTGTAAATTCAACTTAATCACCTGTATTCAAGTGTGCAGCTGAGCATTAGCATTTGTTATTTTTTAGCTGAAGATGAGAACAAAGACAGAGAGTGTACTCGTGTGACTCAAAACTTTCTTCTTTACTTCCCTGTCTTATTTTTGACATTGCCTTTCCTTTTTGTCCTCTAGCTCTTCTGGTGGCAGCAAGAATGCATGATTTCCGACGTACTGTTAAGGAGGTCATCAGAGTGGTCAAGGTTTGTGAGTCTACGTTACGGAAAAGGTCAGTGGAATATTATTGGTTGGATCTTTCACTTAAGGTACTGGAAAGGGGTAAGTTCAGGTCTGTGTGCATGCGAGAGGAATGGATTATTTAAGAATCATGAAAGTAAAACTTTGTTTGTAGGTCACCCTTGGATTAAGGATCATAGAATCACGAGGTTGGAAAGGACATAAAGTTCAACGCTCTTCACAGATACAGGATTTGTTGTTCTTAAACCATCCCAGATAGACTGGGGTTAGAAGGATCCACAAAGGTCATCTACTCCAACCCCTTACAAGCTTGGGGGTCTGTGTGCATGGACTTGTACTGTCCTTGAAAGGCTTAAGTAGTTGTTATCAGAATCTCAGGCCACCTGTTTTTTTCTGAAGACACTAGTTTATAAAAAAAATAATTTGGGGATTTTCATATAAATAATTGGAAACCCACATATTAAAAGAAGAAAATACATCAAAGGCAAATTAATAATTGCTCTCACTTTTTATTAAGTAGCAATAATCATCCAGTTTTCTTCATGTTTGGTTTAAAGAGCTGTAACAGTCTTTTTCTTGGGTTCACTAAAAAGAGATCTAGTTTCACAATATTCCATTCAGTTTTTTCCTACCAGGGAACCTTTTCTGTTACCAGTATTTCCCAAACTTTGTTAAACCAAGATGATAATTTTGAAGAATTTTTTTCCAATCAGCAGAAGAGTATACCTAATACTTTGATGTTGATTATTAGCTTCAGATATTGTTTGTTTTTTGATTGTGCAAAGTCTGTGCGCTAGAGGGTCTACCATTTGCAAATTGGGGATAATAATACTTCCTTCCCTTGCAGGGATGTTAAGACAGAAATTCATTAATGGTTGGTATGTTCAGATAATATAGTAGCAGAGATGTATCAGTACTAATATAACTTTGCTCAGTGGGCATATTCTTTCATATACATTTTATAATTCATGATTTCTGCACTTCATAACACGCTTTCTGGCTAATGAACTGAAGTGTTCATTTTTATTAAGAGTAATAATAAGAATAGCATATTACAGTTGCAAGTAAAAATTTAATTTGGGCATTGTTTTAAGCGAAGAAATCGTACAGCAAAATTCATGCTTTGAAATATTTACTCAAGTCCTAGCCATCAGCTAACATGACAGCGTTATTTACTTTGACAAGGTGAAAGTGACAGCTGAATTATTTTCAGGGAGCTGTAATTGCGACTGTATTTATCATGAATCTATAAAACATGATTGATGTTTTTCAAATAAGAACACATTATATAGTATTTAACTAAGGCAAATTAAAAAAAAAACCCACCCTGTGAATAAGTGTTTTACGTAGCCAATGTATTTTTCTTTCCTTTCAAGAATTAGACTCTTGAAATGTCATTAAGTAGAAGTTGTCTAAATTAATAAGTACTTGTTTCACATGCTTAAGAATCTCTTTGCTTCTCAGTGCAAAATGCAGTTTTATTTATTTTTAATTATTGCTCTTTCTGTGCTGTGTTATCTTAAGAGTAGTTAATGCTTTGTGCAGATGGAAATGGAGTTTGGTGAAGGCATTAATGGACAAAGTTAAAGTTTTATTTGGAGTGCTGACCACTTCTTTCTGAAAATTCTTAACTTAAACAATAATTATAGCTCAAGACCATTTTAATAATCCTGGTACTTCTGAGCCTCCCAGTTATTCCTTACTCTTTGATTTTTTTTTTTTAATTTCTTCCAGCTTGTTAAGTTGTTATTAAAGGGCAGGGGAAAATGTAGGCCTCACTTGCCCTTGTTGTGTGACACGTTCGTTGGTAGAAACTCAACCTTGAAGGGTCAGATCAGGACAATTTATTCTTTGCACCCCTGTACTATGGATGGGATTCTGCTGTTCCAAAAATGGGAAATGATGTGTGGTGGATGTGGTTTTGTCTCAGTACTGAGGTGGATACTCATTGTAGTATGCTTTGGACAACTTTATTCCATATGAAGCCCTTGCTATAAGGGATAGCTGTCCTTCCTGAGAGATTATTCCAAATCCTTTGTAGCACAACTACAGTAAGAGTGGAGGCAGGGCCAGTTGACAATCTCACCTGAAGTACCTGACTTTTCAGCCTATAATGTGCCAGTGCTACCCATGAGAACGGGGTTCACAGTAAGAGGCTCAAAGTATGTGACTGACGCAATATAATGCCTAGTCATTCAGCTTTCTAGCTGGTGAAATGGTTACCTTATGATAAAAGAAAACATTTTCTCCAAGGCAGAAGCAACCAAATAAGGGTTACATGCCCAACTGCATTAAAATGAAGGGTTCCTAGTGGCTTTTAACTTGCATGCTTTGTTTAAAAAATGTTTTTGTCTTTCAGCAGGTATCTCAGTAAAAAGCCTTAATAATCACTTCACAAGGCCTTATCGTTTTGTAACTCGAGGCACACAATTAAAATATACAACTTTACCCCAGTTGTTGAATCAAAATGTATTAAATATTTATAAATGCACTGAAAATTCCATCTATCTCATCTCCAGTCTAATTGGAATAATACTGGATTACACATCATTTCTTACATTCAAAACACTGCACAGATATTAACTAATTAGTCAAGCTTTTATTTCCTGTATGCCAATTGTGTCAATACCTGCAAATAGCTTTTAATCTATATCCAATATATTTGTTTAAGTTTATCCCTTCAATTTTAATCTTGTTATATAGTTTACCCTGTTTTGATTATTGCCTTTTTCTTGTATTCCCTTATTCATATGGCATATAGTGAAATATTAGATTGTCATCTGTAAAGACTTTTTTTTTGGGGGGGGGGGGGTCTGTGTTGGTACAGTATCTAGAACAATCAAACCTTTTTCCTTGTTTTAAGAGCCTAGGCCCTTCCTAATAGAAATAGATGAATAATCTTATTTTTATTTGGCAGTTTTGAAGTTTTGCTTAGTCTTTTAGCTTTATGTAAACATTGAGACAGTTTTTATGATACAGAATCTTTCTTTTTTAATTCATAAAGTACTGTTTAGAGTAGTGAAGCTTTGCTTAGAGTGAATTGGAATGAAAGAGCAGAATTACTTTAAAGCCATTTGCAGTGGGGAAAAAGGCAGTTCTAGCTAAAGCAAACCTTGTGTTTTCAGCAGATTTTTTTTTGGGCAAAGAATAAAAAAGGCCTCATTATTGGAGAAAAAAAAAAAAAAAAGGAGTGACATTGTTATCAGTCTGGGTGAAATTACTGGAAGTATTTTGATAAATTGGCTCCTGCGCTTACCTTAGAGGTACCCAGCCGGTGCTAGCCATTGCCTTTCTGGAAAAAGAAAAGGTCCGTGTATACTTTGTATAAAATGCTGTGCATTGCAGCCTCTCTTATTGTCAGTGCAGCAGTGCATAGCTCACGTAGACTTCAAGTGTAAATGTGCAGCTTTCTCTGGGTAGCTTTCTCTGCAGCCAGAAGGAGAAAAAGAAGAACAGTTTGATATGTAAAAGCTGAACTGGGGCAGGAGGGGATGAGAAATGTGTGCATAGGTGGGAGGAGGTGATCATGAGATTAGAAGATGCATGGTATTGAAAGATGTATTGAGGTCAAGGAGAATGAAGGAGAAGGCATTAACTACATTAAGGCTTTTTTGTGCTGAGAGCTGAGAAAATTCCTCACTAAAATTGTGTGAAAGGTAATTGGAGAACTAAGAGCTATTTTCTCAAGCTCTGTGAGAAATGGGAGGTTAGAGCATGTGCAGTAGTGTGTCAGAGTCTACCGAGGGAGTTTGATGAAGGTGTTGAATGGATTTTGCCTTTTAGGAAACTGGAAAGGTTACCAGAAGAAAAGGAGTTAGTGTTAACTCACATCCTTACCTGATGTTTGTGAAATACTGTGGCACTGACAATTGCTTTGCTAAATTAAGACGTTCACCTGGGAAATTTTGAAGGTCCCCGAAGTGTATACATAAAATGATCTCAGATTGGCTTATAAATGGCTTCTAAAAGTCTTGCCAGTACCCGAGACTAAGCTCCAGTGTGGGTATCCTCGTGCCACTCTGTACCTTATATTGTCAGGGTGTCTGTTTTGTTTTTTCTGAGAAGAGTTGCTGCTTTTCATGGCTCCCATTTTGTAGGCAACATTACATTTTATAGATCCTACTTTCTACAAGGTTATAACAAATTTTTAGAATACGTCAATTCCGTTATGTTACACATTGTTAAGCAGTCACCAGAATAGCACTTTTTGTTTGCTCTCTGTTATTTTCTTTTAGAAATTGTGATTTGCAAAAGCTAACTTGGACTCTGATTCTCCAGCGGGTTCCCTACATGCTTGTTTTTCTGCTTCCAAGTTGTTCTTTCTGTAGGTTAGGATTGTTTGGTGGTGCGTAGGGTGGCCATCACAGAGGACACTTGGGTTTTCTGCTACTCTGTCCTCTGTTGATATGAAACCCAATGCCTTTATGTCCTCTATTTTTCTCTTCAAGAAAAGGCCTCCAGTTTCATATCAGTAGAGAACAGGGGACAACCGGACTGTCCTCTATGATGGCCACCCTAGTGGTGTTGTGTATATGTGATACACTTACATTGTGATGCACATACTTTCAAGAAATCATTTCTCTGTTTACTGCTACTACAGCTACCAATGGGGCAACCATCATTAACAAAACAATATTTTGAAGGTGCTACACATATTTTGGAACTTACCTGAAATATAAGGCAAGACTTAAAAAAGTGCTGGAGCTTTACACTGAAAAAGTTTAAGAATGCAAAAGATAACTTGTGAAGTCTGTGTGAATTGTGAGGTGAAGTGCACAAATTTAACTATGGGCACAACTTCTTCCAGGTTGAGGGCTTTTCAAGTTCACGATGAACACTGTATAAATTTAAATCTCCTTTATGTTATAAACAAACTATGATAGCACCTACCTCTTTTATAGCACTTCTAATCTGTACCTGCGTATACCTTTTGAGGTGCTAATTCCTTAATTCTAACACTTGCTGATATTTTCACAAATGCTTACTTTCAAAATATGCATTTCACATATACCATCATGATTGCCTTACAGC